TCTTTACATGCTGCTTCTCCTGGCCATGGCTGCAGTGTCTCTCTTCCTTCTTCCTGTTTTCCCAATTCTCCTCTCTCTTTGTCCCGCCTATACTTCCTGCCTGGTCACTGGCCATCAGTGTTTTATTCATATAGAGTGATATCCACAGCACATTTTATTCTTCATGGTGATTTCTGCCAGGAAAACACACACACACACACACACACACACACACACACACACACACAGATAAGTAGCTTGGGTGATAATTTTTAAGATTACTCAGTTTTCCTGCAAGTTGCTTTATTTTTAAGAGTATAATATAATTAGATTTCTCCCTTCCTTTTTCTCCCTCCAAACCCTCCCATATACCCTCCCTGCTCTCCTTCAAATTCATGGCCTCTCTTTTCACTAATTGTTATTGGATGCATATATGTATATACACATATTCCCAATGTAACCTGCTCAGTCTGTACACTGTGACTTGTATGCATGTTTTCAGGGCTGACTGTTTGGCATTGGCCAATCAATTGGCATGCTCTTCCCTGAGGAACAGCACCTCTCCTGCTGCCAGCCTTCCCCAGTGTTCTAGTTCTTTGTGTCGGGCTGAGGCCTCGTGGGCTTTTCCCTCTCTATCTTGACTTGTCCATGGCTGTTGTCCTGTTCAGTTCATGGTGGGTGATCATGTTGGTAAGACTTTATGGGTATAGCTTCTGATAAACTAGGAGACATGATCTAGCAGCAAACTCCTTGATCCTCTGGCTCTTACAGTCTTTCTGTCTCCCACTTCCACACTGATTCCTGAACCTTAGGTGTGGGAACGTTCTTTAGAGGTATCTGATGGGCTGGGCTCCACAGCTCTGCATTTTGATTGGCTGTGGTTTTCTGTAGTGGTTTCCATCTGTTCCAAATAAAAGTTTCCTTGATGAAGGATGAAGACTACACTTGTCTGTGGGATAAGGACAAATATTTATAGATTGTTGTTAGGGATTATGCTGTTTTAGTATATTAGTGGTTGTAGATTCTCCTCCAATAACCATAACTTCACTAGCACTGACTAGTTAACTAGGTTTCCACACCAGGTTTCCACACACATACTTCTCTAACTAAACAGTGGGTAAGTGATTACACTTTAGTGTTCCAGGGACATTTATAAGTTTTGTTATATCTTTTTCTCCCTGGTTTGAAGAAATATTTCCAAGTTATTTTTACAAAGCCACTATTCCCTGATATCACACGAAGACCCACAGATCCATGTACCGAAATCAGTTCATTTGATACTTTTGTCTACTCTGCTGCAGAATCCATCTTTTTAAATGATTGTGGCTTTCAGAGAAATGTTGCCGTGTGAATGGAGCATCCTCCTGAGACTAGTCTCTGAAGTGTCTCCTCCCTTCCTTGTTTTCTGTGCAGTAATGTTTTATTTTCACTGTGTTACTCAGTATCATGTCAGTTCCTGTTAGTATGTGTATAGATGTTGAATTGAATTTTAGATTCTCCCATTGGCAGACTTGACACTTCTGCAGCACCACATCTTCTTATTCAGAAATGTTTCCACTTCAATCCAGATTTCCCGTGGCCTTGTCAAGTTTAGTGGCTGTCAGCCCAAACATCTTGTCTATTTTAGGGTCATTGTTGAACATTTGTTACACTTATTTACTTATGTGTGTGCACCTGAACACACGGTTATGTGGAGTTCAGAGGACAGCTTGATGCAAGTTGGTTCTCTCCACTCTGTGGGCCTAGAGATGAGACTCAGTCGTCAGGCTTGGCAGCAATTCCTTCCTTTCCCTGCTGGGCCGTCTCGCTGGCTTTGTATTCCCGAACAGTTATCTGTTACTATTATAACTGGAACTAAGTCTATTCTTCATTGCCTAGTACTTGGGTATAAGAAAGCTTTAATGAAAGTAAACATTTGTTGGTTTATATTATTATACACAGTGATGCATCTCATAAAGACATTTTCATATACAGGTATTTCATGGACTTCAACCAAGTCAACCCCTATACCCTGCCCTTTCTCCCTCCCCCTTCTCATTGTTCTTATCCATCCCCCAAACAATCTAAATTCTACTCTCATGTTCCATATACATTTGTGGTTTTTCCACACCTATATAAAACTTGGAATCCTTCAGTAAGAGAAAGCATGCTGTGTTTGTCTCTCTGAGTCTGACTTCTTTTCCTAATATGATGATCTCTGCTTGCATCCATTTTCCTGCAAGTGATATTATCTTATTCTTCATGGCTGAGTTTAACTCCACTGTCTAGAGATACCTCATTTTCTTTATCGGTTTTTCTATTGATTCCATGTCTTGGCCTTGAGTCCCGCTGTAAAGAGATGCGCGCGTGTCTCTCTGGTGTCCTTTGTTCTCTCCAGAATGGTGAGCTTGGCCGTGCAGTCCCATACTGACTGCCGTGGTGCTTGGACTAATTCCCATCCCCACCAGCAGTGTACGGACTCTGTTCCCCCTTATCCCTGCCACCATTTGCTGTCCTTGTTTCCTTAGTGGAGTAAGGCTTGTGATTCTTTGTAATAGAGCTCGTCCAGCACCCATTAACTATACCATACATTTATAACGAGTGAGTGCCACAGCAGCTTTGTCCGTCCACTAGGGATATAATTGACATGTAATTTTACTATGTCTAGGAGTTATGTTTTAAAACTTCTAACAAACGGGTGGAAATAATTGTAATGATACCGTAAGCTCATATATTCAAGATATCTCATTTCAGCACGGAGACACATTAGTAAGACATTATACATTCTTTGGTGGACAGTCTATAGGAGAATCGTCAATAACGAATTGGTTTTGTTGTTAACTAAAGCTGTATTTTGAAGTTTTAAGCATAAACATACAGCTGCTCGCCATCATTGGTGTGCAGTCCTAACTCTGTGTTCTCTCCTCCAGCTGGCCTCTGGAGTGTCTTTACGCTAGGCGGGGCGGGCAGCAAAGCCGCTGCCTCTCCAGAACTCACTTCCCCTCTGGCCAACCAGAGTCTCCTGCTTCTGCTGGTGCTGGTGAACCTGACAGACGCTCCAGACACACCAAACCCCTACAGACAAGCCGTCACGTCCTTTAAGAACACACAAGGTTTGTGCTGTTTTCTGTGACCCTCTCTAGTCTATTCATCAGTGTATGTTTCTTGAGATGAGTGTCGATTAGAAAAGCTTGGAGTGTGTTTTCTACCAATTTTCTCAGGGAGGTCAAATAATTCTTGGAAGAATTCTGTGGTCCTTTATAACCATTAAATTTACATTTTTCAGATACAGTCAAAGTAGCTTGAACTTAAATGGTAGGGACGAGAATTAGCCTACGAAGCCTATATGATAGGTTGTTTTGAATTTTCAAAGTCTGCATTTTGGTTAAAGTTTTAGAGGACTAAACATTTAACAGAGATCAAGAAACTTTGTTTTTGTCCAAGTTGATGTAGTTGGGTGTGGGGTATCAGAAGTGTGTAGTCTGAAGGGAAGGTTCCTATACTTGGATGGCCAGGGAAGTGCAGTTATTGGGTACAATCATGGAGGCATCTGGTTCTCTGAGCCATGTTTCTTTGCTGACCTATTCTAATTTCTCATAGTCAGAGGATTGGGATGCCAAGGAGTCATACCATTGTTACTTTTCAAAATATCACACGCCGAGTCCTCATCCACTTGTGCTGCTGTGACGAAGTACTTAAGTCTGGGGAATTTGTTAATAGCAGAGATTTATTTCTCAGTGCTAGAGACTAGGACGTGGAAGGTCAGTGGGATCCCCAGCAAGTGTAGTGTCTGTGAGGGCCCATCTCCAGTTCTAATGTGATGCCTTGAATGCTGTATTCTCACCTAGTAGAAGGGATGGATGACTGAATGGTGAAGTTGCATGAAGTCTCTTTGATAAAGGCCAGGGAGGAGCGCTCGTGCCTGAATCACTTCCTGACAGCCCCACTGCTGCGTTGGCAGCTAAGCTTTCATGTGCATTTGCGGGGAGGCCGCAGGCATTCACACAGTAGTGCAAGTGGAGAGCCAGTAACAGGTCAGTGGTTAGGAAAAGAAAACTCGCTCGCGTGTGTGTTCGGTGGTGGTTTTCTGCTCTGCTGCTATAGTCCTTTCCTTGGTGACAGTGCTACTTAATGGCCAAGAAAGCTCATCTCGGAGCTGAGCTGACCTGGGTTCATGCCACACCCTGGTCATTTCAGAGTGAGACCTTTGGCAGTTTGTATAATCTCAGGCGTCCTCAGTGATGTTGTCTGCAATATGGAGACACCATCATACAGCACGTTACATGACTTCCAAGCAAGAATAGAGTGTAAAACATAACAAGGACTCAGTGTATGGTTTCTGCTGTTGCAGCTCTTGCCACTCAGGCCAGAGGTTCACGTGCAGTTACAATTGAGCCCTGCTGGAGACTTTAGAATCGAACCTTGTCTGAGATTAGCCTCTTTTAGGAGACCACACAGTAGCACAGTGATTCCAAGAACTGACATCAGAGACAGACTATAATCTGTCTCAGGTGATTCTTTAAGAAAGAAAGGAGCTTTTACTGTAGTGCAGATTCACCAATCGCTGCTGTTACTGAGAATCAATGTAACACAGAGGTCAGTCTGGGTTTACTCATGATGACTTGGGACATTTTATTTCATCTCTGTAAGCTTCTATTTCATCATTTCTAAAATTGGGCAGAATAATGACTCAGTTGTACAGATTAAATAAGGGATGAGAGATGAACACTTTGTATAATGGCCGATTCATGCTACCTTTGGCTAACCATGTGTAAGTATTGTGGCTACACGGAACACATTTATGTCGGGGGAGTCAAATATAACATAGGTTGGTGAGTGCTCTACTTTGCTGTCATTGTGAAGAATTGCAGTCAAGACTCTTCCTGTGAGTCTTGAAAAAATGATTTATATTTGCATATTCACTGTATTACTTACTTGTCTTTTTCTTGTGATATGCAAACAGCAGGTTAAAGCAGGAGGGTTTATTCTGCTCCTGGGTGGTTCCAGGGTCCAGTCCATTATGGAGGAACTCTGGCAGCAGCAGCTTGAGAGATGGTGGCATTGGATCTGCAGTCAAGGAGCAGAGAGTGCTGAATGCTTGTCTCAGCTTACTGTCTCCCCCTCGTGTTCACTGTGCTTTTATTTAGTCTGGGACCCTGGCCCATGAAACCTAAGACCAATGGTTAAGGTTGGGCTTCTCACCTCCATTAACCTAATCTGGATAATCCTTCACAGATGTGACCAGATGTTTTCATAGTGTTTTAAGTCTTATCAAGCTTGACCATCACAACTCCATCCCTTGTCAGCTTGGTACCTAAACACATAAATTTTAATTTTTAGCCTTCCACCCTGTTCCCCATTGGCTCATGGGCACCTCAGTGCAAAATGCATTGAGTCTCCATAGTCTCTCACAATTCCAATACTATTTACAAGTCTGAAGTTGAAGTCTCACCTGAGACTCAAGACAATCCCTTAATCGTGAGCTCCTATAAAATCTAATCCAAACTGCACACTTGGAATGTAGAATGGCATGAGTAAAAATTCCCAGCACGACAGACACTAACCCTGCAGCGCCATGTCAGCACGTGCTGCTCTCAACCAGAGGGTTTGCATGGCTCCAGCTCTGCCACCCGCAGCACGTACTCCTGTCTCTTGGGCGATCTACACTCTGTTCCTGCAGCTTTCTTTACCAGACATCTAACAGCCCTTGAATGTCCAATATTCTGGGGTATTCTAGTTTAATTCCAGAGTATTTGGTAATACTCTGACCAAAACAAGCTTGGAGAGAAAAGGGTGTGTTTGGCCTTCTCTTCCGGGTCACAATTCATCATCGAGGAAAGTCAGGACAGGAGCTCAAGGCAGGAGCCATGAAAACAGCATTGCATGCTAGCTTGTTCTCTGGTTCATTCTGGCTCACTCAGACTCACAGCTTACTAGTTTTCTTACATTTCCCAGAACCACCTGCTTAGGTATGGTGCCACTCACAGTGGACTGGGCTCTTCGGCTCCAGCTAATAGTAAAGATGGTTCCCCCCAGTTAGGTCCACAGGCCGTCCCGATGTAGGTACTTCGTCAGTCTCTAGGTACTTTACTCTCAGACGACTCCAGGCGGCATCAAGTTGCTAATTAGAGCTAGTTAGGACATGGGGTCTCTTACTGCAACCAGAAGTTACTGCAGCTTCATGCAGCGGCCTCTTAGGGCCTCCTTGCAGAAACTGCAACCTTGTCACACATTGCCTGGCCTCTCGAGAGCCATGAGTGTGTGGTTATGAGTACCATGGCCTTGGCAGTGCTTCACTCAGGCTTACACATCCAGCACAGTGTGGCTAAGCTCTCCTGCCAGCTCAGGAGGGAGCCTGGACGCCTTGGACCGCAGCTTCACTGGCCTTTGCGCTGATGCTAGGGAAACTCTTCCCTAGATGGTTGTTTTTGAGCAGAGAACTCCTTCCGTGGTGTTCTAGTTTAAGCTCCCTCCTTTCAAATGAATTTGCATGTTCACAAGTAGGAATCTTTGGTGGGTGGGTCTGGCCCTCAAGACAGCCTTCCTGATGTCCAGGTGTGGAGCAGGCACTACGGTCTTTAACAGTGACAGATGATTTGTCCTCTCTGCTCTTCTTGTGAAACTTCAGACTTACACGCTTTCCCCCCCTGCTCTCACTGTGGACCTGGATGAGAGCAGTGAGCAATCACCTTGCCACAGCCGAAATGCTATGGTGTCTTGAAATTGTCTCTGTCAAACAAATTAATCCATTATCTTTCAATTCAGCATCACTCAGGAGTGCAGGTGCTCAGTGAGTACAGGCAATTGCTGTAAAAGCAGGAGAGGCTGAGTTCACATCAGAACCTGTGCAAACCCAGGGCTCTTTAATTCACCCTTCACTCAGGTTCTTAAGATGGCTGATCCATGACTTACACTTCTTATCATTTAGAAACTTTAGTAAGTGTCTTATCAGTTGCAGTCAATTACCTTTCAAGTTTTAGTTTTTTCAAGATTGGTTTTATTTATTTTTTAAACATGTATGTATGTATGTATGTGTTTGTCTTTATATGGGTATGGACTTGAGTGCATCAGGTACTCACAGAAGCCAGAAGGTGTCGTTTCCTTAGAGCTGGAGTTACACATGGTTGTGAGCCACCAAGGCGGGTGTAGGGAACCAAACAGGTCCTCTGCCAAAGCGGTTTGCAACCCTGAGCCTTCTCTCCAATCCCTTCAATTTTCATTTATTTTTTTATTTTATTTTATTTTATTTTTTTTGGTTTTTTCGAGACAGGGTTTCTCTGTGTAGCTTTGCGCCTTTCCTGGAGCTCACTTGGTAGCCCAGGCTGGCCTCGAACTCACAGAGATCAATTTTCATTTAAATAAAACTTTTACAGAAGTTTTATGGTAGTTGCCTTAGGCTTGCTGTATTTCATATATTGATTTTTCTTTTATTTTAAAACTAAGTTATATGTTGTTATTTTGGCCATTTTTCTTAACATTGAATTACTAATTTTAGTGCATCAGCCATGGCCTACTTATTTGAAGACCCTTAACGATTTTGTATAAATACACTACTCGGAAGTCCTCACACACTCTTTTATACATTTTCCTGCTTGTTTCTGTATTTTAGACAGCAGTCCTTTCCCATCGTCAGTTCCACATGCCTTCCAGATTAACTTTAACAGTTTGTACACAGCCCTGTGTGAACAGCAGACGTCCGACCAAGCCACGCTCCTCTTGTATACTCTGCTCCATCAGAATAGCAACGTCAGGACGTACATGCTGGCTCGGACAGATATGGAAAATCTTGTAAGTATCACAAGAAACATGCCATGTGTGTCTTGCGACATTACAAAGAGTGACTTATTTTCTTTTCCAAGAGGGTAAGAGTGCTCGCCTGATGGGAGATGTCACCAATATAGCCAAACGGTCTGCACTTCATCAACACTGAAGGAGGCAGTGTCCAGCGAGCCGCTCACAGCAGAACTGAGTGAGCAGTGTCAGTCAGTGTGACACAACCCCATCCTTGAGGTCTTTAGCAGCTACCTGTTGCCCAGGGTTCTCGCCGAGCAGGTGGCCTAAGAAGCATCCTCTATAACCGTCAAGGACATTTCATTTCTTCTCGTTCCTTCCAGCTGACAAGGCCTGTCCTCGGGGTTCATGTAATTTTCTTGATTGCCACACATTACTGCTGACAGTGATGAAAGCAAGGTGATTGTTCCAGCTTAGTTCCCCAGAGTCCAGCCTTCTCACGGCCTAGATGCCAGGGTCCTCCGAATGCAGCTCCTGGACTGGCAGTCATTTTCAGGCACCTGGCCAGACACCACTTAAAGGTCCACTCCGTGAATAAAATCAGTCCCACGATTTGTCTTGGCAGACAGATCTATCTCCCTTAGGCAGTCAGTGGTTTCCATTGGAGCTAATGTTTACCATCAGTGATTCACCAAAGGGAAGAGTAGGCTACCACACCAGGGTACGGCTGAAGTACTGTGAACTGCCACTGCATTCATTACCCCATGTCCCCTCAGCCTTGGGCTCCACAGGTCAAACAGCTTCCCCAGCATTTGGTAGCTTCTTTTATTGGTTTTAAATACTATGTAAATGTTGAAGAAGCATAAAATATAGCATTTTTAGCATATTCCTTATCACAATGACATTAAGAACAAAAAGTGTGATGAATAAAAATCGGTCTCCACACCAGAAAGGTGTGTAAAACAGTGGCTTAAATAGCATAATACTGCATGAAAGTCTGATGGGGGTGGGGAGCACAGAGATGGTTGTGTGTGAGGAGTTCTGGGGGAATTTCGGCAGTCAACAGGAAGCCTGGGCATGGCTTGTAGGCCACCCATAGGGACTCCTGTAGTAGTAGTTCCTTAGATCATTAGGTGGATGTTCCAGTCTGTCCTAGTTAGAGTTAGCATGGCTGTGATGACACCATGACCAAAAGCAGCTTGGAGAAGGAAGGGTTAATTTCACTTACACTTCCAGGTGACAGTCCATCATTGAGGGACGTCAGGACAGGGACTCAGACAGGGCAGGAACATGGAGGCAGGAGCTGATGCAGAGGCCAGGGAGGAACGCTGCTCACTGGCTTGCTCAGCCTGCCTTTTTTATAGAACCCAGGACCACCAGCCCAGGGGTGGTTCCACCCACAGTGGACTAGGCCCACCCCCATTAATCACCACTAATGAAGAAAGTGCCCTACAGTCTTGCTTACAGCTGCATCTTAAGGAGGCATTTCCTCAATCAGGGGGTCTCTCATCTCTGATGACTCTAGCTTGTGTCAAGTTGACATAAAACTAGCCAGCACAGCCTGAATCCAAAGTGCCTTCTACATTATGATTTAAAGACTCGGTAGCAGCAGCAGCAGCATGTGGGGGTCTTTTTAGGTTCCTGTAGCAGGTGAATCCTGGCTGGTAGAGGTAGGTCCCACAGTGTCGGCTCTTGAAGGCTATACCCGCTCCTATTTGAGGTCCGAGAGCTCCATTTCCTGGTTTGTACCTTATAAGGAATCTTCTACTTTTGCTCCCAGTGCTATGGTCTCCACCATGTCAACCTCACTGTGGCAAGTGAGATGCTCCTGAAACCGTGAGCCAAATAAATCTTCCCTGCAGTAAGTTGAGGTATTTTTTATTTTGGGCACAGTGATTGGAAAATAATAGTTCACACTGGATAAGAGGGGACAAAGGAAGAGAGTGATTGGGGAACTAATGGATAAAGAGTCTAAGATTTCCTTTTGAAATAATGAAAATACTCTAAAATTAACTGGTGATAGTTACTCATATTTGTAAATCTAAAAACCATTTAATTACATCTTTTAATTTAATTTAATTACAGCGATTATACAATCTGTAGGTTTGCTAGCTCAGTAAAAATACTGAAAGGAAGGATTAATTTGTTACTTTGGCATAGCCCCATTGGACCTGTTAGGTATATCTAGACATATATATATACATACACATACATATATATATATACACACACACACACAAATGTTTAGTTACTTGTTTTAGGCTTTACTAAATCTGAACATATCAAAGAAGTTGATCCTTTATGAGGTGGCTGATGGTTAGCTTGTATGTCTTATAAGACTAGGATTTTATATCTTTATCCCTCTTTAAGTTTTGCCTTAGGAAATAACAATTTCTGAATTGAAGATTTTTTTAATATCAATATAAGACTTTTAATTCATAAACACAGTCCACCTGGGATCTTTCCTGATCATTTTATAGTACACCATTATAGAACACAACAGTTTCTTATATGACTTAGTTTACCAAACTAGCTACAGCTTAATAATGTTAGGAAAAGCAAAGAAGTTAGACATACATTCTTAAATCAGTCTCTGTTAGTCTGAATAGACCTTAGGTAAGGAGAGATGCTTTGCCAGACTGCTTAGGTCACTGTCTTGCTGCATCATGAGATGGGAATACATCAGTCTCTGATACTCAGCTGTGGTCTTAAGTTTTTTATTTCAAGAATAAAGACATAGAGCACAACCATAATTTGTAGAATGCAAAACCAAGTTTCAACAGTATAAACAATTTGATATCTCTAGAAGGCCAAACCAAGTTTTAACAAGGTAAACCATTCAGTGTCTCTAAAATCAATACCAAGGAGATTGTAAAATCTGGCTGCCAGCAAGATACATTCCCTGTCCATGAATGCATGGAGATGCAACCTTAATGTCTCATTAAACCAGCATTGTTTTATTTTATTATTATCTTTTTAATTTTGTTTTATTTTATTTATTTATTTATTTATTTATTTATTTATTTATTTATTTATTTATTTATTTATTTATTTATTGCTTGCTTGCTTGCCGAATGTTGTTTATTGAAGGAGGAAGGAGGTATTAAATACAGGCTTACAGCACAATGGGAGAACCCCAGAGGGCAGAAGTTTGCTACCAGATGTTTTACAATCTTGCATCTAAATTTTTAATGCCCATTATGCAGGATACACAGACAAGGAACTTCCCTTAAGCATTCAGGAGGGTGGAGCCTGGCAGGGAATTAGCATAGGGAGGATATCAAGGTCAAGGTCAGCAAGCAAGGCAACAGTTACCCAAAACAGGGGCCTGGGACCTACAGGTCCCCCTTTTACTAGAAAATGAGCTTCTGACGTCAGCAGGTCACCTTATCCATTTATGGAGACACCTACCCAGGCCACACAGGTGCTCTGTCTTAGGTTGGTGAGTGCCCCCCAGGCATTACCTGTCTCTGAATACTCATTATCATACAGGCTCAATGGTGTGTGAGCTGCAGAGTTAACTGCTGCCAAAGATCTCAAAGTGGTGCTGGGCTTGCAATCTGTGTGTTTTGACACAGAAAAGACCAACAGAAGTCCTAACCCACCCATTGTTTTAAATCCTATCTTTCATAAACCTTGTTTTTAGGACAGGACAGGACAGGACAGGAATTATCATACAAAAATCCATCCTAATCCAAAGCATCTTGGAGATCTATTGTCTCCTTGATAGACCCACTCCATGTGGTCATCTTTAATCAAGATGGTGGTGAAGTCACATGACCTCTCTCTTCCCTAACCTTGTTGCCCACCTGACTGTACTTAATTAAGATGGTGGCAGACCACGTGTTGTTTCCCAGAGCAGTTCCAAGTTCTAAGTTAACTTTTTGTTACAGATTTTTACCATACCCAATTCCTTTTGGGGGTGGGGGGGCAAGGTAGACCAGCATAAAATAACTTTAGTATTATTTATATCCAAATGACATATGAATCTCTGTCATTGCATCAGATTCAGTGGCCAGAAAGCCCAGAGGCACATTCTGAGCCCAGGCAGTTACTTGCAATAGTAACAGTTGAGCTGTTACCAAGACACAGGGAAAAAAGCATGCAGTGGCCACATACAGTTGTGGTTACACACCCAACTGACCCTGAAGTAATTCCATGTGGCTCCCATATCCACAAGAATATATACAGGCACAGATCCATCCATCCATACAAAATAGACAGAACTTTACCAACAGTGAGACAAACAAAACTTTCCACAGGAAGCAGACTTTGTTTTAAATTACAGATTTTAAACCATGTCAGATGAACAACTTACAAATCCTGAAATAAGAGTTTACAGTATAGAGCAGCATGTAAGAAACCATAGGAATAAAAGATTTTTAGGAGGGAGGAAGTAGAGGTAAGAGACTTTGGGATGTGAATCTGCAGGCCAGAAGAGCCAGAGCCACATGGAAAATACAGCGGGCTAGAGCTTAAGCTGTGGGTCAGAGGGTAGCGGGTCTGCAGGCCGACTATAAGGTGAGAGGAAGCCAGGGAGGAGCAGAAGACGAGGGAGGTGTCCATGTGGGTCTGCAGGCCGAAAGAGCCAGACAAGCACACATGTCCATGTGGAAAGTAACATAGGAAGAATTGGACTGTAAAGTTTGGAATTAGATTCAGCCACAGACAGATGATCTGTACATACCCTATTGAGGGCCAGGTCAGCAGATGCTGAAAGGGAGAACAGGCATGTTCTGGGCACGAAGTAGCTGGCCTCTCGGGCTCTGACTCCAGTGTAAACTCAAGGCCGGGGCATTTATGCGGTTTAGGGTGGGAGAGCATACAGTAACAGACAAGGGGAATGGATCTGTTGTGGGTGGAGTGGGCAGGTAGAATTCCAGCATGGTAGGGTGGGAGAGCAGACAGGAACAAACAGAGAGGACAGGTCTGTTGTGGGGAGGATCCCAGCATGGCCAGACCAAGTGCCAGGAGAGCCTAGTGAGGGAAAGGCAAAGTGGGCACCTTTTGGGGGCCCTGCCAAGGAATGTCATTAAGAGAACAAACACACCAGGAACAACTGAGTTAGTGCAAGAGGTTTATTGGGGGATGGGGAGAAAGAACGAACGAAAGGCCACCTCGGAGTGGAGACAGGAGAAGCAGGTAGACAGCCGTGGAACAGAGTAACAGGAAAGAGGGCTGGGCAGGAGTGCAGGGCTCAGAAACCCTGGGGGAGGGGGCTTAAATCATGTCGTAAGGTGTGAGGCAGCCCCAGTTGGGATAAATCTTGTGGTAGACACCCCAGGGGTGACTGAAGATCTGATTTAGACCCGCAGTTGACCATTTCCACGCCTGTGCTGGGGTTACTGAAGCCTAAAGCAGTGTGTCCACTGCTCTAGCCTGGGGTGGCGATGGGGGGCGTGTGGGAGCTGCCTTCGTGTAGACATCTGTTGCACAAAAGGGTCCCAGGGGATAAAGACAGTCTTTGCTCCAGAAACAGATGAGGTTGCCTGGTGTGGCCACAGCTTGGCAGGAGCCCTGAGAGTCTTTGTCTCAGAAGGGGTCTTTACTCAGAAGAGATCCTCCACCTCTATTGGTGGTGGCTTGAGAATGGGTGACTTACCTAGGTCAAAAGTCAGTCCCATCTGGCAGAGAGAGGGAGAAAAAGAAGAGTGGTGAAGAAGAAAGAGTGGCCTCTCACGTGGCCACGGGACCGGTCCACCCTGCGGGGAAAGCTCAACTCTTCCCAGGTTTCAGGCACCAAGATGATAGATTTTCTGTAGACCGATAATAGGTTTCTCTGCCACAGCAGTTAGCCAGATCAAGCCGAATTAAAAAGTAAAAGACCCGATTTATTTGGGCAAAGCACTCCTGGGTGACTCTCCAGCCTCCAGAGGGCAAGGTGGGGGAAAGGGGCAGGAGAGAATCACGTGGCCAGTCTAAAGGAGGGGGTTTAAATGGCCAGTAGGGAAGGGACCACGCGGCATCCTCCACAAGCTGGGTTTGTGTCCAATTATAGTGCTTTGGGTGGGGACTGGGGAGCTGGCAGCTTCAGGGGAGGAGCCGCCCGCCATCCCTGAGCGTGAGAAACTGGGCTTTTTGGCAGTTCTCTGAGAGGGCAGGGTTTGGAGAAAGAGAACTGGGGCCCGAGCTGGAGATTCCAGCTGAACAGGAGCCGTCATTTTTAACTTTGGTGGTGGTGGGGGAGGTGGGGTGAGGGTGGTTCAAAACAGAAATTCTCTGTGTAACTCTGGCTGTCCTAGAACTCAATGTGTAGATCAGGCTGGCCTCAAATTCAGAGATCCTCCTGCCTCTGTCTCCCACATGCTGGTGTTAATGGCATGTACTACCACACCCAGCTCTTATAACTTTAAAAAGATTTTTTTAAAATGTCCCCTCTCGTGTGTGTGTGTGTGTGTGTGTGTGTGTGTGTGTGTGTGTGTGTGTGTGTGTGTGTTTTCGCTTGAAGGCCACAGGAGGATGTTGGATGCCCAGGTCCTTTGCAGAAACATGGTGTGGCATGGGTTCATTTCATCTCACAACCTGTAGTATACTATCCAGGGAGTCAAGGCAGAAACTGAAGAGGATGATTTTGCTCACTGGTTTGCTTTCCATGGATTCACTCAGCCTTCTTTCTTAAAACACTAGGACCCCAGCCAGGGTTGGCACCACCCACAGTGAGCTAGCTGGGCCTCCTTTATCAGTCATCGGTCAAGAAAATGCACCACAGGCTTCCTCACAGACCAATCTGGTGGGAGCATTTTCTCAGTCAAGATTTCCTCTTTGAGAAGGACTCCAGCTTGTGTCAAGTTGATATATAATATTAGCCAGCACAGTATGTGTCATAATTTCATACAAGGCATAATATACCTTTAGTGATGGTTACCCTAGTTAGTATAGAATGAGCGAATTGGCAGTGTCAAATGATTAGAAATGAAATCATGCATTTGTGAACAGAATCATAAAATGAGGTGTGTGGCTGATGCACTCACTGAGGAGTGAGTCTCAGGACACATGCCGAGAAGATGCATCATGGGCAGCAATAGTCCCTTCCACTGGTTACTGACATAGAGTGCACTTTTGTGTTATTAGCATTTACGTACAAGTGGCATGAAGCAATCCGATTAAAATGCTTTAAAATTTAGGAGCAGCCAAGCTTTTCTGAACAGATCAAGTTTCTTTTTCTTCCTTTTTTAATTAGAGGAGGTTGATCTGACTTATAACTGAGCCCGGAAGGCCTCTAGACGTTAACCTTTCTTTGGTGAGACCTTTAAGAGTTAGTTAGTGATGACCTCCCTGCTCGGGGCCTTAGGTATGTGTGTGGAGAGTACATGTAGCATGAGAGTATTAATCCTCTGTATTTACGAGAACTACATGACCTCAGAGCAAAGCATACAGAGCAGCAGTGTAAGGCTCTCATAAAGTATTGAAATTGTGTATTGTAATTTTTTATTTCCTAGGTTTTACCAATTCTTGAGATTCTGTATCATGTTGAGGAAAGAAACTCACACCACGTCTATATGGCCCTCATCATACTGTTGATCCTTACAGAAGATGACGGCTTTAACAGGTCCATTCACGAAGTGGTGAGTTCCCAGGGCCGGTGAGAGGCGCGGAACAGAACTGTTTGTCCATAGAGTGTGCTCGGCCTTAGCGCTTCGTCCGTTTCCCTTCTGGTAGAGTTTCTGGGGGGACGTGGGTTACAGATGGGGTCTTCTTCAGGTTCGTGAAGTAATGCCTTGTCTTTTACCCTCCTCAACTATTAGCCACTGTTTTTATTAGTCTATGTTGTACGTTACACTGGGTTACAAAAGGATATTTCCATATGAAGATACAATGTGTTTTGAGCATTTGACTATTTCCCTCCTTATTCCCCGGACAATTTCACTTCTGCTTTAATGTCAGATGTATGTACGTGAGTTTCTGTATTTGAAATCCAACAACCAGAAACAGGAGAAAGCATGCTGTTTATCTGAGATTGACTTCATTCACTTAATGTGATTATCTTCAGTTGTATCCATTCTCCTGAAACTGATGTCATGTTGTTCTTTTTATTGTTGTTATTTTGGGACAGCATCTCATGTAACCCAAGTTGGCTTTGAACTGTCTATGTTGGTAAGGCTTGAGTTTCTGGTCTTCGTACCTCTGCCTCCCTAATGCTGGGGGATTCACAGGTGGGGTGTATTAGCACACCTACCTAACTTTGTTCTTAAAGGCCGAAAAAAAATCCCGTTGTGTGTTTATACTACATCTTCTTCACTAATGTTACTGATGGACACGTAGGTCAGCTCCATAACTTAGCAACTGTGGTCCGTGCAGCTGTGAGCATGATGGTCAAGTGTCTTTGTGACACGCTGACTTGGAGGCCTTTGGGTAAATACCCAAAAGGGTCATAAGTTACATCTAGTTTTCGTTTTTTGAGGAACTACCATATTGATTTCTGTAGTAGCTGGACTTAGTTTACATTCCCACCAGAAGTGTTTGGGATTTCCCTTAAAAAAAAAAAAAAGTGTGCCAGACTCATTTAGGGGTCAAGCTAAATGGCCAACACTGAGCCGTCATCTCCTCTGCCTGGCTCCCGTTGCCATGCCATCAGCATCTGCTACTGTTTCTAAATGTCTGCCGTTCTGACTGGGAGGAGGTGTCATCTCTGGGTTGTTTTCATTTGAATTTCTCTGATGACTACTGAGGTTAAACATTTTTGTGTGTTTATTTCACAAATTTTAAGATAATTTTCTTAAAATTATCTACTCATATCATTAGTCCATTTATTGATTAGGTTGTTTGATTTTTTGTTATTTAGTATTTTGAGTTCCTCCTGTATTCTAGATATCAGTCTTACATGTAGATAGCAAAGATTTCCTCTTTAGGTTCTCTTCACTATATTGTTTACTTTTATGTACTCAAGTTTTTAGCTTCCTGAGATGACATTTGTCAGCTGTGATTATTTCCTGAGCAGCTGGAGTCCTATGCAGGGACTATGCCTGTATCTTGAAGTATTTTTACTCTGTCGGCTTCAGAATTTTACATCTGATCTATTTGGAGTTGATTTTTGTACAGGGTGAAAAATTGGGATCTAGTTTTATTTTACATGTGGATATCCAGTTTTCCCAGCACCATTTGTTGAAGAGACCATCTTTTGTCCCAATATATATTTTTTATTTATATTATTAGTGGATTGTAAGAATTCTTGATATATTTTTGATCTTATGCTTTTTTTAATCCAATCTGTTATATAGTGAATTATACTGATATATCTTTTAATATTAAAGCAATCTTTCCACTCTTTGGATAAACCATGATTGGTCCTGATGTATTAATTTACTGTGTGTATTCATACACAGTTTGGTTAGTCTGAGTTTTGTTAGCTGTCTCTTAGGGAATTTGTGTACTTTTTCTAAGATTCCCTTTATTGCCTTGGTACTCACTGGCAGCTCGGAATAGCCGCAGGAGGACCTGGGCTGTCTCTTCTTGAATGCTGGGCTCACGGGGTCCCTGAGCTCTCCTAATTATCCTTTGAGGTTTTTTACATTCTGTTGGGGAAGTTCTGTCTCTCAGCACCTACTCTGTATTACTTTTGCTTTCTAATTGCTAAGTTCTGTTTGCTTTTCCTGTTCCTTTTATCTTGTGTGCTATGTCTCTTTCACATACATCTCTCTGTCTACTAACGATATCAGTAGATATACACATCTCCTCTCTGTCTACTAACGATATCAGTAGATATACACATCTCCTCTCTGTCTACTAATGA